TTATCTTGGTTTTCACGGAATGGAGGCAAATATGAGTAAGATAGTATGTTTAAATGTGAGAAATTATAATGTTTGGAAAAGCAAGATGAAAGATTTGTTGTTCATGAAGAGTATGCATCTACCCGTTTTTGTAGCTCATAAACCGAAAAATATATCTGATGAAGATTGGAATTTTGAGCACTATCAAGTATGTGGATATATACGGCAATGGGTTGAAGACAATATTCCCAACCTTATTGTAAATGAGACACATGCGAGATCGCTGTGGGGAAAAGCTAGAGACTCTTTATGCTTCAAAAACTAAGAACAACAAGTTGTTTCTACTAAAATAATTGTTGGGCTTTAAATACAACGAAGAAAATCCCATCCTTGATCATATAAATGATTTGCAGGGTGTCTTTGATTAGCTGCCTGGAATGGGAGTTAATTTTGATAGTGAGATACAAGGGCTTTGGCTTTTTAATACTCTGCCATGTTCTTGAGAAACCCTTCGTGTTTCTTTGACAAATTCAACTCCATGTGGTAAGGTGACCATGAAATAAGTCAAAAGTGGTGTATTGAACGAGGAAGTAAGGAGAAAATCTCAAGGTTCATCCTCACAAGCAGATATCTTGGTTACAGAAGATCGGGAGGAGGTAGAGCAAGAGGTTCGAGGAATAGAGGTACAAGCAGAAGTAAGTCAAGGTCCAAATACCATAATATTATGTGCGACCACTGTGACAAGAAATGGCATATTAAAAGGTTCTGCCACAAGTTGAAGCAAGGCATTAGAGGAGGACGGAAAGTTGAAAATAATGAGAACAATATTGTTGCTATTGTTCGAGATGATATTTTTTCTTATGATAGAAACGTCATCAATTTGGTATGCCATGAGACGAGCTAAATAGTAGATTCTGGAACTACCTCACAGTCATACCAAGAAAAGAATTTTTCTCATCTTATACTCGTATCGATTTGGGAGTGTTAAAGATGGGCAATGCCATTGAAGTTAAGGTGTTTGGTGCTGGCATGGTTTGTTTAAAAACTAACAATAGTTCAATGTTAGTTCTTCAAAATGTCAAGCATGCTCCAGACTTTCCTTTCCATTTGATCTCCATAGGAAGATTAGACGATGAAAGTTACCATAATACCTATTTAATGGACAATAGAAGCTCATCAAAGGCTCATTAGTAGTGGCTCGAGGAGTCAAGTCTTCTTAATTATATGTGACATAGGGCTCTATTCTTATTGACTCCAATGGAAAGTGACACTTTATCAGAATTATGACACAGAAGATTGAGTCATGTGAGTAAAAGGGGGATTACGTATTTGGCTAAGAAAAGTTTATTTTCTGGAGTGAAACAAGCAAAGCTGAAAAGGTGTATCCATTGTTTAGCTGGCAAACAGAAAAGGATTTTCTTTCATAGTCATCCTCATTCAAGAAAGCCCGAATTATTGGAGCTAGTACATTCTGATTTGTGTGGTCATTTTAAAGTAAAGTCAAAAGGTGGTGCTCTTTACTTTGTGACCTTCATTTATGATCATTCTTGCAAGCTGTGAGTGTAACCATTGAAATCTAAAGATCAAGCACTTGGCGTGTTTAAGGAATTCCAGGCCTTGGCTGGGAGGCAGACGAGGAAGAAATTAAAATGCATTCGCACTATTAATGGTGGTGAATATTATGGTCCCTTTGATAACTATTGTAAAGAACAAGAAATTCGTCATTAGAAAACTATGCACAAGACGGCTCAATTGAATGGTTTGGCAGAGAGGATGAATTTAACTCTAGTTGAGATAGTTAGATGCTTGCTTTCAGAGGCAAAACTTCCAAATACATTTTGGGGAAAACACTTAACAATGTTTCTTATGCTATCAATTTGTCTCCTACTATTGCTTTGGATGGTGATGTCTCAGACAGAGTTTGGTTTGACAATGATGTTTTTTATGATCACCTGAGAGTATTTGAGTGTAAAGCTTGTGTGCATGTTCCTAAAGATGAGAGACCGAAACTGGATGTCAAAACTAAGTAGTGCATCTTTATTGGTTATGGTCAAGATGCGTTTGGGTAAATAAAAAAAAAGATGGTGGCCGAATTTCAGCCCCTTTTTGTCCCTAGAAATTTCGCCCACACAAAATTGCTATTTTCGGATATTATTTGGGTAATATAGTAGGAGACTGTGAAATGTTTACTGATTGTGATCGTGCGGGTGGTGGAAATTCTATTGAGAAGTTGTGGAACTGAAGTCTTACGTGATTGAAAAGTCGTGTTCACGCTTCAAGAGAGCTAAGTTATTACCTTCTTTTTTGAAGATGGAATAATCCATCATAGCCTCCGCGATAAAATGAAGTTGCGGGAAGGTAAAACAAGCAAGGTCTTGTTAATCTCATTTACATCTCTAAGTAGTCGTTGACTTCCCACCATCGATGGGTTAAGGGTGATTAATTGCTCTCTTTATGATCTTAAAGCCTAAGAGAAGAAATTTTGTCACGATCAGCCAATTTCAAACCACGTTTTTCAATTCATTAGTTATTGGATCGGGCTGAAATTATTATTGAGTGTTCCTAATATCTTGATCTTTGATTGAACGGTGGAGATCGGATTTTGTGGTCTGTAGCATTCAATTTCGAGCCCCCAATAGCAGCTCCGTTTTAGTGACTTTTCCTTTCTTCAATTGATTTGTTATTGTTATTGTTGCTCTCTGTTTGGCCCTTGTTGTGTAGTTAATTTGTAGGACTTTTGTAATTCTCTTATTATTATAGTAGAGTTTTTTGGATTTCTGCGATCCCGTAGTTTCTACCTTCGATTTGAAGGGTTTTCCAATATTAAATTGATGTACTTTATCTTCTATATTTTCGGATTTGTCTCTTCCTGGTCATAACATCTGCTTCTTCTGAAAATTAGATTGCTATGTGTGCATGGACATATCGATCTGATTTCCAACAGTTCAATGTGCACCTTATATTAATCTAGAATTCACCTTTGCCAAGACAGTTTAATCAACATAAACCAATGAACTAATGCAAGTAAAGTGATCAGTATATTCAACCTTTAATTTTTCAACTCTTAATTAAACTTATGTAAAAAGTAACCTATTCGAGAATTAAACATGTTTTTCTTCTATTGATATATTACAGAAAATTCGTTACATTTTGGGTGTGTTTGGTATAATAAAAAATGTTTTCTTGGAAAACAAGTAGTAAGCTTATTCATTTTTCGATGTTTGGTACGCAAATTAAGGAAAATGACTTCTCAAGAGTATTTATAAATAATTTAGATATAATAAACATGAAACCATAAATTTTTCAACCAACAACCTTCCGGACCCACAAATTTCATAAACTTTTGAACCACTAAACTTTCAAAAGTGCGGAATTTCAAACCCGTAAACTTTATAATTTCTAAACCCGTAAACTTTCAAACACATAAACCTCCGAACTCATAATTTTGAAACTTGTAAAATTTTGAGCCTTTAAACCGATAAATTAAAAAATTAAAATTAAAAAATACATTTAAAAAATATTTTTTTCCCGGGGGGTGGGGCGCTGTAAAACGGAAAAAATAGAAATTTAAATTACAAAAAAAAAGTAAAAAAAGTTAAAATTTTGTGTTGGTGGGGGAGGTTGGGGAGGGGAGGTTGGGATGGGTGGTGGGTGGTGCAAAAGAACGAAAAAATAGAAATTTGAAATTGCAAAAAAAAATACTATTTTTTTGCGGGAGGGGGAGGGGGTGAAGGGGTAGTAGGGTGGATGGTAACGGAAAAACTGAAATTTGTAAAAATAAAAAAATAAAAAATAAAAAAACCTTTTTTTGTAGAGGGGGTGGGGTGGGGAAGGTTAAGAAGGAGTTTTGAAAAATATTTTCCTATTTTCCTTCAATTGGAGGAAAATGAGTTCATATTCACAAGGAAAATATTTTTCAAAACATTTAAGCCAACCAAACGTGAAAAAATTGGAAACCTTCGTACCAAACACACCGTTTCTCAGCGTTGATCAGCACTATACAGATTCTAACTTGTATCTGTTTTTTCTCAAAATTTCACTCGAATTCGTCGATGCATGCAAAAGCTTTTCTCCGACGTTCAACCACAACGCAATGTTCAATAAACATGTACAGATGGACCAAGAAGTAAATTAAAGTTTATTCATTTTTGGTAATTATCGTGGGAACCGTGAACGAGCAAAGCCTAATTCTTTCTAAAATCTAATACCATACTATAAATTTCAGTTCCACAGCCTCATAAACAATCTCCATTCAACGTACTAGGTCAAAAATAGGAAGAATCGCGCATTTTCTTAAAATTTCATGGTTCATGCACTAATTGAATTCCCTTCGAAATGTATATATCTGTTGCCAACGTAGGCATTTCTTATCTTGAAATCTCACTAAAATAAGAAAATCAAGCTCACTATAGAAAAAAAAATTAAATAAATGCATTTAATTTCAAAGTGATAAAAAAAACACCGCAATGATACACACACACACTGGAAATAAAAAAGAAGGCTAGAAAAATATCCCTCTTCTTAAATGTCATTGATATTGTTACTTAGCATGAAATCCATGTTAATGCATGAGGTAGTTCCAATTCATGTAAAGAGATAAAGAAGGGGAATTGATAGAAATATGGAAAGTAATTCTAGAGAAAGAAAAAATTCATTGTAACCAATGACATACAATTCCAACATAATCATTAATTTCTATTTAGTATTTTGCTGGTACTTACTTTTTTCTCTGATTATGGGTATTTGGTATATCTGGAGATTCTTGCTTTTTGTACCACAAGAAGTGAATAAGTAACAGCTCTGGGTCAACAGGATAAACTAATTAAGGGGGAATTAAGATGCTGTTCAAGTGCAACAAATTACAAAATGCAACCGAAGAAATATTGCTAATCTTGATGTTTATTTTGGTTCTGGTTTACTTACGTTGGATGAGTAGTAAAGACAAAGATCATCGTCTAATTACGAGTAGAACCACTGACAGATTAAACAAACAAATATTTATATTAGCAGGTCAAAGCAATATGGCAGGTCAAGGTGGAGTAAGCTATGGTTATTGGGATGGTATTGTACCTATTGAATCCCAACCAAATCCAGCTAATATTCTTCGATTTAGAGTTAATACAAAGTGGGAAATTGCACATGAACCCCTTAATTATGGAGTTGATTGTCTTTCTAATTGTGGAGTTGGTCCTGGTATGGCTTTTGCTAATGCAATTCTAAAAAAAGATCCAAATTTTGGAGTTATTGGTTTAGTGCCATGTTCGAGGTCAGGGACTGGAATTCATGCTTGGGTTCCTGGGAATTTGCCATACGAACAATTGAGAAAAAGAGTTAAGATTTCTCTTAGAGATGGTGGAACATTAAGAGCACTTTTGTGGTATCACGGTGAGAGTGATTCAAGGGACAAATACACTGCAAAATATTACAAATCCAAATTTGAAAAGTTTGTTCAAGACCTACGCACTGAATTAAATTCTCCTCTACTTCCTGTTGTTGTGGTAATTAACTATATACCTTTTCGTCTTCTTGAGCCGAGGGTTTGTCGTAACAGTTTCTCTATCCGAGCCCATTCTCCATTAGTGGATTTTCACTGACTCGTTGTTATTATTGTTGTAGTGGTAACTAACTATATATATAAATCCTTAATTGCTTTCACTCTTTTATTGCCGGATTTACACAAAGGTTTCATGTTGTTGTTGTGTTCTTTTTCCAAATGATTTTTGCATAAGATAATAATCCTTAATCAAAATGGATTTAAGTTATGTATATTAACAATGTAAATTTTTTTACGTTACCAATGCAGTTTAGCTGGATATAAAATGTTCTTACTCTATTTTTCAAACTACCATATATACGAAGAGTTATCTATTGTTGTAAGTCAATTTCACATGATGTTGTTAAAAACATATACATTGTCAACGAGCGGAACTTTGACCCAATCAAAACAACTGCAATTTGTCTCTTTCGCTTCGGTTTATCTAGTGTTGTTGGTACTGCTTGCTGCTATTGCTTCTTTCTCATCTTTTTTGTACCGAGGGTCTATCAACAATAGTCTTTCTACTCTCACAAAGGTGGGGGTAAGGTCTAAGTACACTTTACCTCCCTAGATCCCACTTCTGAGATTTTCACTGTGTTTGTTGTTGTTGTATAACAACTTCAATTTCTTTTTTTATTTAAATTTTTTATACAATAACAAGGTGATTAATTTTTACATTATCATTGCATTCGACTGGTTATAGTAGTTGTTTACTGCATTTCTTTAATACAAGTTATGATCACTGTCGACAATTTCTAATTATACATTATTAACATACAGAAGTTAAACACTTTTTTTTTTTTTTGCAGGCTGTTCTAAATTATCCTAAACCACCGTTTGTAGGAGAATTTGTAGATGTAGTGAGACAAGCACAATTTGATATTGATCTCCCAAATGTAATAAAGGTTGATGCTAAGGGTCTACCATTAAATTCGGATGGCATTCATCTCACAACCCAAGGCCAAGTCAAACTTGGTAATATGATGGCTGAGGCATTTCTCAAAGCCAAATTTGAATCTGCTAAAAATAATTCAAACAAGATTTATCATATGATGTAGTAGTCTATCGACTTACTTCTTCCTTCAACCCTTAAGCTGTTTTTTGTTAATTATTCAAAAGAAATTCTTTTTAAACTAGTTTGATGATTAAATTGTTCATTTTGGTACTACATAAATCGTCTTGCCTTTCGCTACTTGTATTTATTCGCAATTGTAGAAGCTACCTAAAAACATAGAAGATACAGATTTAATATGCAGAACACAACGATTATTACAAATTCATAAAAGTAAATATATTGTGTTTACTCTTTTCCATCACTTTCATACCAGATCGCATGGTTCAACTTCCACGAGTGATGGCGATTTCTTCTTGAAAAATAATATAGTTAATTGAATCTTTATATTATAGTCATATTATAAGATCGGATTATTTCCTATTTGAAAATACTGATATTCATTTTGAACCTAAATTACCAAAGTTGAGTAGCGTTTTCATAACATAGGGGCCATTTGATGTAGTATAACACGTATCACTAAGTCACTACTCACATTTTCTTGGAATTAAAAGAGCATCTTGTCCCCAAATATCGAAAAGAAAAAATATCTGAATTTCAAGGTTAGGAACCATCCATTCTGTCGGATGAGATATCCACTGTCTTTGTGTTACAGCTTGGATCCTCAAACTTTCTTTGTTTTGTCGGCCAATTTTTCATTCTTTCGCTTTCCAATATTAACACTCGTATTCAATAATTACTTCCTATATGTAGTATCTTGAACCTTGCCTTTACTAATTGTGCTGCTCTGCCTTTTCCTGTTTTGGTTAGAGGTTGGAGTCAAACTAAAAAAATTGAGTTTAAGTTTTACGCTCTGCTTAAGTACAAGTAAATAAAGGGTAGTTCGGTGCACAAAGTATTTCGTATGCAGCCCTAAGAGTCTGATATAGACAGTCTTCCCTAACGGAAGTATTAGTGGTTAGTTACAGATAAATATTATCCTGCTAAAAAAAACTATATCACATGTTAAATTATACTAAAAGTGTAAAGACTTTTTACACTGTCATTGTATATAAAGTTTAAAATCCAAAAAAGAAAAGTTAGGTGGTGTTAAAGGAATTAGTGAATACGTTGGTCCAGTGCTGCTCCTATTTTTCTTAATATTGGTACAACTTTGTTTGCAATTAGAAAAGTGGGAAACAAGTGGGCAAGAGATCAACATCGAGCTGATATAACCAGTGATGTGATATGTACTAAATTCATGAATAGGACATAAGGTGCCAACTCCTTTAGGGCAATAATTTCTCCCCTACATTACTTTAGAACCTCTTAAACTGGTCCAAAATGACTCTTAGTCTTACGTAAAAAGAGTTGTTTTGCAAACTAATAAGTTGATCAATCACAGGACCATATCCAGCTTTTTTGTTAAAAAAAATCATCACATTCAGTGAGAATGCATTGACATTTTCCTTCTATGCTAAACTCTTGCAGTCACATTTTGGTTAGTTCCACCAATTCTGGCATAATTTTGGTTAGTTAATAGTAAGAAAAACTTTTACTTTGTGGTTTACTAGATTTTTTGCATTTTATGTTTGGGTTGATTTTCCTTGAGCCTAGGTTCTACTGGAAACAGTCTTTGTACCTTCAGGGTGTAAGGTCTGCGTACACACCACTCTTCCCAAACCTTACTTGTGGGATTATACTGGGTTGTTGTTGTTGTTTTTAAGTCGATTCGTTTACTCTAGTTGTTTGGCTCAATTGATATTACAATCTTCGGTTGTGTTGCTATTCTACCTCCTTTAGCTACAACCAAAGTGGATCAAACTACCAAGTCTAAAACAACTAAAATCCAAGTCTAAATCTATGGTCAACATACAAGTAAATCCCAACAGTATGTACATGTTTTTTCAGAAAATGTATATCCAATAAATAATATGCACAGAACAAATTGCTAAAGATTACAATGTCATTATCATATAATCAAAGTACTCAGTACTTCACCAACAAGTTAAGCTAACAACCAACAACAGGTCCCTATATACTTAAAACTTATGCCCCCTATGTACTTAAAGACACTATGCAGACATAACAAACTGGAGCCAACTTAACTGCAATTAGTTTAGTTTGGATCAGCCCCTCCTTTCCTTAGCCGTGCTTCAACTATCTTATTTTCCTGTTGAAGTCGCAATTTCTTCTCGTTCTCATTAATCATCGACTCATTGTATGGTCTAAGGAAAATTTGTCGTCTTCCTCGGCTACATCAAACTTTAAATGATCTAATCCATCAACCTTAATGTTCTGGTTTGTAGTGGTCTTCATAATTCCGTCATGAAAAATACTGTCATGTACTGCATTAGCATAACTAGATGGTGCTCGCGCAGGCACTTTAGAAAGAAAAGCGCCAAGGTTACTTGGCACTGAATGCAAAAGAGAAGGAATTGACCACAAAGGTAGACTAGCCATGCCTTGTGGGCTATTATAACCTATGTTGATGGCCTTAACCGGAAACTCATGTAATCGTTCACCCTGAAGTCTTTTCGAACCAATTAGCTGGTTTTTGTCATCCATTTGATTATCCGTCTCGTTAACTAAAGAGGTATCTTTTGGCTTGTCAGTGTATGGATGTTGCATTGGCAAAAATGGTCTTTGAATTGCATAGATTCCTGGTATACTTTGAAGGTAGCTGAATTTCCTCTGAATGCTAACTACTAAATTAAGATCTTCAACAACCTATATATAAGTGGAATCAGTTGTCAGTGAAACATATGAATACCTCCAAAAAGGAAGAATAAAGAGACTATGTTGCACGAACTCTCCAAAATCCTGTCGCACCCGTGTCAGATCCTCCAAAATTACACTACTTTTGGAGGATCCGGTATGCACCTGGCGATATTTTCAAAGAGTCCGAGCAACATAGCAAAGAAATAAACCTTATTAAAGGAGCCAAGCTGAATGATTCCTTCCCTAACAGATATAATTGCAATAGTCTGCCAAAAAAACAAAAAATTTCTAAATTAAGATCTTTGAAATGACTTTAATGATGAAACACTAATATTTTGTCATTGACTTTACTTGCACCTGAATGCCTGAATTGAACTGAACTTCCCAGGCTCTTGGTTGCTGCCAAATAAGGGAAAAAAGGCAAATTCAGAAATCAGAAAGATTGAGAAAGCAGGTGAGGGAGCATACGCGGATGCAGCCATTGTATAATGGATTCAACTGAACACTATTTTTAACACAGAACATAGATATATATGTGAAAATCACTAAAGTTGAAACAAATATTATACTTTCAAAAGTTTAAGGACTAGTGTTACTTACAGGTTCAATGGACAGATTCCATGAGCAAATAAAGCTTGATTCTTTTTCATTTGGGGCATCTTTAAACACCCATTTGTGACTATTATCTGCTGCAACTTTGCCCACAACTCTGCAAAACAAACAAAAAGGTCCAATACTTTGCTAAGAGGACACCTTATTCTTGTTATAAAGTGAAAGTGAAAAAGAGGAAAACTAAATCTCACCCTTCACCAAAATTATAAACCTCATGAGCCATTTTAAAGAAGATGTCAGCACCAAATTTTATCCTTACAAATTCCCTTTTGGATCGTTCGCATTCATAGAAGTCACAGAAACCATCTTCCCAAACAAGAATCCTGAAATGAAATGCAAATAAATAGTCCACAAAAATCACAAAACAAATACTCATAGTATTATATAATTACCAGTTTCTCTTGTTTCCTTTAGCACGATCAAGCAAGCCTCCTCCACGATCCCATCTGCGAAAAAAAAACAACAATATAATATGTTCTTCTTAGATAAATAGCAATATTCATTAATTTCCAGGTATATTAATGTGCTTAGCTTACTTAGGTGGAGGATAATTTCTGGGGAGAATCTTCCAGAAGACAGCATAGACCCACTTATTAGACACATTAGAAGAAGAGTCAGAGCAAGTACAGAGACTTCTCAGTGTTTGCTGTAACAGACAGTTTAGCATGGGAAGTCCACCTTCCATTTTTCCAAGATAATGGGAGGGTATTTAGGCAGAGAAAGAAAAGAACGTATGTAACTGCAGGAGTTAGTTCAAATCACAATAAAACTGAAAAGAGAAAAAGATGAACATTATTGCCTTTAAATGATTGTGGGAGGTATGTGAAGGAAACTAATGAATTTAAGTGAGACATTTCTTACCACTGTTTTCTTTTGTATCTATAGTTTGTGTGTGTAGGGGAGGGGGGGTGTTAAGGGGATAGGTTGCGAGATCAGTAAACTTTGACATCAATGATTTCACTAAAAGGTAAACAAGTTTGGTACCATATGATAGGCTCCCATGGATGCAAGGACTGTTATTCTGTTATTTTTGTGATCGATCTAACAGCTGAAAATGGAGTCTTTCATTTTGATTAAAGATTAAATGAGGAAGTTAAAGCTATTTTTGAGGCGCACGCAAGTTAATCTAAACGTACAAAGAAAGATATTAAAGTTACATTTTCGGATAATTAAAGCAAAAAGTTGTGTATTACTACCTCCAGTCCAAAATAAGTGATTTTTTGGCTTTTTTCTTGTGGTTCAAAATAAGTAATTTTACATATTTCAAGAATGAATTAATTATTTTTTTTCTACATTGTCCTTGGAGTAAATAGTGTTGGAATATGTGTTAGGAGCGTTTATGTGAGTAGTAAAGGTTAATATGGTCAATTTCATTGTTAATTAATGCTAAGAGGTGGATTTCTTAATCTGTGTGAAAACATCCAAAAAATCACTTATTTTGGACGGGATGGAGTATCATGCATAACTTGCATGGCCCGAGCCTAGTATGTAGGGCATAGCATGCGTGTGTTATCCCTGAGGACTCTGCAGTAGAACCAAACTCTTTTTAGCAGTTAGCTCATAATTATGAATCCTTAACCAACTTTATGTTCCCTTAAAGACCACAACTTTATGTTCACTTTATTCACATTTTCTAATTTGTGATAGCTATACAGTTTTTCTCTTTTGCTTATCGAGCCGTGGAAACAACCTCTTGCAGAAATGCAAGAGTAATGTTGTGTATAATAGACCCTT